AGTCCCTTCTGTGCTTGGCACATGTGATCGACTGCCTTTAGGCTTCTGGCTCTCTGTCCAGCCTGTCACCGGGAAAAATGCGACCTCTTAGATTCTCATTAGCTCCAGAAAACCTCTCACCTCCCTAACCCCCTCCCTCCATTCCCAATTAGCAGAAAATAAGCCTGGTGGAGGGGCCCCCCTTTGGGTAGCCCGCACTTTTCCCCAATCACTCAATTCTTCCATGAGAACGCCCGGTCAGATGCTGCAGTGAAATGAAAACGACAGGACAAACAAACCCACAAAAACAAAAACAAAAAGCCAAAAAAACCCCAAGACTGTCTCCTACTAGCAAGCCACTGGTAATTTGGGGGTTTACTGTCCAGTTTAATCTTCAGTTTCAGGTTGCCCATTTTGTAGCAACGGAGGTGTCAGAAAAAACATTTCTGCACCTGTTGCAAAGCCTCAGCTGCGGCTGGAGACAGACTCAGACAAACGCATATAGAATGTCAGCCCAGTTTTAGCCTATGTGCCGTTGAAGCCAGCGCATGTACACATAAAGTATCATCCAAGTTTAGTACGTCCTGATAAATTACACAGCATCACATAGGAACACAAGGAGATGTCAAAGTTGGAGGACTCCTAAGAGGTCATCCGGCAAAGCCTCTCATCCTACTCGTCACCTCCTGGCCGAGAGACCAAAGTTCGGGCAGCTCCAGTGACAAGGACTCCTTGGCTTTCAGAGGCAGCTGGTGTCTGTGACCAGCTTTTTTTCACGAGAGGTCTTTTCTAAAACAAGGGCAATCCATCGTCCTGGTACCTGCTAGCCACTGGGGGCTACTTCCTTCTTCAGAACAAGGGATCTCCTAGGGAACCCGGGCCCCACCCCCAACCCTAGGGGGACTGAAACTTCTAGCACTATAGTTTCCGAGCCAGAACCCTGGCTGCGACGGCTGCTGCCTCTGATGGAGTGTGTCTTGAGCTCCGTTTCCCCCCCCCCCGTTGGGGCTGGGGGGTGTCGGTGGGGGCGGCCCCGCCTCTATGGCCCCACTCCTCCCTGCCCACCCAGCGAGCGCGAGGCTCCTGGGAACTGCGGCCTCTGCGGGCCCACTGCGGTGCCGTGAGTCGGCTTGCCAAAAGCCACCCGATGCAGCAGGTAAGCAGGCAGTCAGAGAGGTGCACTGGCTTTCTGAGAAGCAGCAGTCTAGCTAAGGCAGGAATAGGTTCTAACTTAATAATCTGCTCATCACACGCAGTAAGAGACACCCTGACTTATTCAAAGACACCGTGGGCGGTGCAGAGGATGAATAAGCATGATTCACTGCCACTCTGGCACCCGGGGCACGAAGAATAATAAAACCCAAAGAATTGTAGCCGCCTGAGTAGTAAATTAAGAGATCCGGGGCTCAGCTAGACTCTAGACATCAATGTTACCATGGCGATAAAGGGCCCCAGCGTTCAGCAGTTATTATAGAACAGGCGTCTAATAGGCTAGTCTATGTCACAGCCAAAGCCCAAGGGGCTAGCAAAGAAGACCAATTAGCATATCCATTCATTAGGGGCCTCTGCACACTTCTTCTCTTAATTCCAATTAGTTGTTTGTTTGAACCAACGTCTCTTGCCTGCATTATGCTCATTAGTGCCTTTTAGCCACTGGAAATAGGCTTGAATCTCCACAAGGACCTCACAGTTTCCCAAGCCTTCATTTCCACCCCCAGGGGTCTAGGCTTATACAGTCACAAACTCATGGCCCTCAGTCCCTCGAAATGAAAGCATCTCTCACTGTACAACTGTACTCGACAGATGGAAACTCTGCTCAGGAATGTGATGCGCTAAGGGTTCTTCCTGGAACCCAGCGAAGTAGGGATCTGGGGCCATTATCTGGACCATTCAGGTCAAGGAAACCCTCTGGCCTTAGCCAGTGAGCCTGCTGGCTACGCCTGCTGGCCACTGCTCAGAGGCTAGCTGTGCGGGAGGGGGAGCTTCGGGCACCAGGGACCATACTGGCATCAGCAAAGTCGGGCAGTAGCTGTTCCAGTTTGAAGGACTGCCCTTCAAGGTCCAACCCAAACCCCGCCTATTCCGGGAAGCCTTCCCTGATCTCTGCAATCGCAAATAAGATCCACCCCCCCACCCGCTTCATGCACTTTGAAGATGACACCCTATGCTGGGCAGTATTCACGGGCAGTCTCAGGCCCTAGGCTGGCCTGGACCTTCCGCACCCATGACTTCAGAGTCCACGGGTCACTAATGCTGGAAGGGTCTGGGGTTCTAGAGAGTCCCCAGTGCTACCCAGCTGAATCCAGTGTCAAAGACCTCTTAAGCCCCACTGCACATGACCTCCCAGAGAAGATTTAGCAAATCCCTAGGTAAGGAAAGCACACAACTGCTCTTTGGTAGCTCCGTAACACACTCTCCCCTCCCCCCACCCTACACACACACACACACACACACACACACACACATACACACACACAATTGCAGAAGTGACCCATAAGAACAGATGTCAGAAACTAGCCCCTCCCGTGGTGAAGGTGAAGATTCTCTGAAGAATGCTCTGGGAACAGGAGGACCCAGTCCATAGGTTTCCGTTCCCCATCAGCCACCCAGCAACCATGCGGTTTGACCAGAGCAGGCATCCAGGAGACGAGGCTTCTAGAAGCAGCTGCTAACATCTGCGCCCAAGGACTGGGCATATACAGTTTGAGAGACTGGAGTCATTTGCCATTCAGTCTGCTGTCAAAGCCTCTCCTTGCCACTCTTGCCTCCGGAGCCACCGTTCATTTGCAGTTCCCCTGGTCCCTTCCAGGTCCAGCCTTCTCTGTGCTGTTCAGCAGCTTGCTTCCCACCATATATACCCCCCCAAAACTGGCAGGAAAGGTCTCTCCTGTAGCTAGAGTCTTCTGAGTGTGAACTCACACAGATTTCTGTCTTTGAGGTCCTATGGGATTTTGTTATTTTACCCCACCCAACAGCTGGCATTCCAGAAGACAGCCTGATCTATAGTCAAAATACATGGCAAATATATTAAGTGTACAGCAAACCCCAGGTTACCCAGAAGGCTTGGGCGTGGGAGACTCTGGAGAACAGAATATTTTGTTACCTGAGGTCACATTGCTCCGAATCTCCTTTTGTCTTCCTGCTTTTGGGTTTTTTTCCCCAGCTTTATGGAGATGTCTTGACATATAACATTGTGTAAGTGTGGGTGTTCGAGGTGATTTGACTCACTTGTATGTTGCAAAATGATGATCACCATAGCGTTAGCTAATAAAACCTTCACCGCGTCACTTAAGTGCCGTTTCTTTTTTAGGGGGAGGACACTAAAAATCGGCTCTCTTAGCAACTTTCAAGTAATAATACAGTCTTATCAACTATACTCAGCACGCTGTACACTAGATCCCCAGAACTTACTCACCTTAGAACTGGAAGTTTGCACCCTTTGACCACCATCTTGCCAGTCTCATCCCCCCAGACCCGCTGACCACCATTCTACTCTATTTCTAGGAGTTTGGCTTTTTTAGAGTCCACATACAGGAGAGCACCTCCAGTATTTGCCTTCTGCTGTCTGACTTACTTCACTTGGCACAATGCCCTCAAGGTCCATCCATGTTGTTGCTAATGGCAGGATTTCCTTCTTTCTCATGGCGAAACGATACACCTGTGTATGTGCGTGTGTATCACTCTTTCCTCATCCATTCATCCACTAATGGACACTTAGGTAGCTTCCGTACCTTGCCTATTATGAATAATGCTGCCCCCCACCCACTCTTGATTTTTGAAATCTTGCTTACATGACTGTGTTCTTTTCTGCTTTAGGAAGACAAGACCAGTTAACCTACCCTTTGGTTTTTGAGGATTGCCAAGGGCTTCAAGATTCTTATATTTAACATTGGGAGTCACACAAAAGGCTTGATTGGAGAAAGTGTGAGAGAGCCCAGTATACACTGAGATCAGGTTAACCCCTGGAATGTATTTTGTTTTTATTAAAGTCCAGAAAGTGGAATGAGTGTCTCTTTTTTTGTCAGTGGCCTCTTTCTCATCAAATAAGGGTATGGCGGGGGGAGGGACTCTGTTAAGGAAGAGTTCTAATTAGTAGCGTTCTAGTAAATGGAGTCTTTATTTTAAATTAAGCACTATGGAAGCTGTCTTCATCAGAATGGCCTAGGCTGGGGATTATGAATAAGTCAATCTATCTAAGCTTTATGCTGGCTTTCTTGGTTATGTATCTGCCCAGAATCTCATTATCTACAACGTTCTCAGCCACCTGGGTATAACGGGTTGCGGCAGGTGGCAGGGGTGATTTTGAAGGAAGAATCACAAATTCCACCCAAACCTTTTAGCCACCCAGGCTCTGGTGGGGTGGACTGGACAGACCAAAAACGCTATTCAGTGTTTTGGCTCTTTCTACTAATTTTTCTTTTGTTGGTTCCCACATTGGCTTCAGGAGTTATATATGTCTGGGAAACTGACACGGCAAAGTTCTGGCCTGTTCCCTGCCCTGATGCTAAGGGATAAATATAGATCTCAACCACTACAGAAATGTGGCCAGGATTCCAAGGGCTGTGTGCGTGAGGGGCAGCAACTGATGGGACCATTGTGACATGTGGGCTAGAAAAAGGCTTCTTTATGTCCAAGACCCTTGTTGGGGAGGGGAGGAGTAAAGCAGGAATCTGGCTTCTAAAATCAGAATGCATAATCCACATTTCAAGGGGCTCATGGGTTGACACAAATAAGGAATATTGTAGGTGGCTTGGTGTGGGGGGGGGCAGAGCAAAGGGAATCTTTCCTGACACCCTAGATCCTTTTGCATGAGATCAGTCTTATGAAAAAAGAAAAGTTATTCTTGGCCATGTCCCCTCACCCCTAACTCCCACCCACGCCCCACCTCCTGCACACACTGCTACTCAGCTCTCCGTTGAGAAGAACACGACTTAAGGTTTCCATTGGGCCCATAGTAGCTCGGGTGCTAGAGAAGGGCAGAGGGCGGGTAGAGAGACGTGAGGTGAGGGGGGCGGTGAGTCGCTCCTCCTCGTGACCCAGAATATCTCCCCCCTCCCTGTGATGATGAGCTTGCTTTTCCATAAGGGCTTTCCTTTGATTCAGGGAATGGGCCAACCAATGAGAGAGGGGCATGTTAGATTATTTTGGGGAAGGGCTCATGCCAGGAGGGTTCACTTTTACTAGGCGCCAAGTGTCCCCAGCAACCAGTGTCTCCTGTACCAGTGGGAACTCCAGAACTCTCACCCCCTTGCCTGCCTCTGCCTCGTCTTTGCCCACGGAACAGCCATGAGAAGGCAGCTCCGGTCCAGAAGGGCTCCGGCCTCTCCTTACGGTTATCGCTCCAGACTTGTGAGTCCCGGGGAGCAGAATGTTTTGCCATCCCTGTTGAGGGGGGTGGGCTGGGGGTTGCGTAGATCGTGGCTTACGGCTGCTTCTCCTCAGCATGGGCAGGAACAGCGGGGTTTAAGGAAGCCTATAATTTCAAGATGGAGCAGTGACTCCTGGCACCCCATTGTGCCCTAAACTGCTGCATTGAAGGAGGAAGTCCCTCTTCCCCGGGGGAAGAAAAGACAAGGGAAGGGGAAGATGCCAAAGAATAGGGACCTTCTAAAATTGGAGGGAGGGGGGGGGCATCTGGAATTTAAACAAATAGAACTTTTGGAGTCTGGGAGTAGAGGTTTTGGTCCGTTAGCAGGAAATTTTAGCCAGGAGAGAGAGGAAGGGGAAGAGGAAGCGAAACACACTGCCCACCCAGCTGCCTCAGTCCCCAGGGGTGGGAGCGTCTTAGGAACCCAGCTGCTCTTTTTCTAAAGCAGAAATTCCAAACTCTCTTGCTAAAATCAGAGAACCGTAGATAGAAGCCGGGAGTAATCTTAGACATCATCTCTCCAGAACCCCTCATTATGTAAAGGAGGCTGCTGGGGCTCCAAGCACGGGAGTGACTTGCAAGTTTCCTCACTTCTAATCTCGGGCTCTATTAGACTTGCGGTAGGCGACTCCCTAGCCCTCTGTCTCTCCCCCACCTGCCGCCAGCCCGCCTGCCACCCCACCCTGCCCAGCACACACACACACACACACACACACACACACACACACACACACACGGGTGCACGCACTCACACATGGACACACACACGACTCTCTGCTGTTGCTGTTTATCTCCAGGGTGCACCACAGAGGTCTTTGAATCCACCGTATCCTTGCATTTACTTTGCTCGAAATCGTTAATATATGCCACACACAGTACTTTTTTTCTGGGGGGGGAGGGTTGTGGGGAGTGTAGTCTGAAATCTCCGCCAGAGAGGGCTGTGATCTGAGCCCCTGGAGGAAACAAAGCTTAAATCCACTTTTCTTTGAAATGGCCGCTTATATAACCAAGGAGTAAACGGAGGAAAACACGAATCCTTCCAACCCGGTATCAACCTACAGAGGGCTTCCCTTCTCAGCCATACCACGTAGAATCTTTCTTTTCACATTTCCAGAGTCCCTCCCAGCTTTCAGAGCAGCCACAGCCTGTAGGGCACCTACAACTCTTCCTTCCTCAGCTTCTTCTCTATGTACTGTTGCTAAAGCGTTATGTATCCGTTCGATTAGTTGTCAAGCGCATCCGAGGGTCTGCTCTTTGTAGGAAATGCTTGATTTTAAATGCACCGGGGGATCTTGCCCTGTAGGGGGCTACTTGATCAAATCTACAAAGAAACTATTTAATGCAGTAGTTAATCGTATGCCGATTTCTCTTTGAAATTAACCAACTATTCAAATGTTTACAGGGTGTTACTCAATGCAGGGCACAAATTTATCCTTTGGGTCACACTGTTTGTTTATATGTTTATATGTTTGTATATTTAGAGTGCTCAAAATGGAGCCACCCTCTACCCTTCAGACTCTCCCCTTTTAGGGCAACACCATGGCCCAGGCACACACCCACTACTATAGTCCCACACATTCACACATGCTGCCACAGGAGGGCACGGCCACTTCAGGCAGCGGGCAAACACAGACCCTCTCATTCCCAGAGTCCTGACAGGATTCTGTTAAATAGTTAGTTGCCCAAAAGTGCCTCCCTTGCGTAATGCGAGGTTCTCCTAACACAGGGAAACAGAGGAGAGCAAAAAGGATATTTGAGGTTCCTGAAACTCAGGCAGTGTGAGAGCCGTGGGGAAATTAGCTCAGAGAAGGTTAATTCTTCCCGGGAGGGTAAAGCTTTAATGACAAGCCATCTTTAATGGGATTATCTTGAAAGCTCACATCTACAAATAAGATCAGGCCAAGGCCCAGGCCAGCTGTCTCCTCTGTGGAGCAAAGGTGGACAGCAGGCCCTCGCACAAGAGGGAGAGAAAAGGAAGCTGTCCAGAAAATATAAAGGGGACACTAAATCCCCCCGCAGTGAACCGTTCCACCTAAATTCTCTGAGATTCCCTGTTGCGGTGGATTCTTCCCAGGCCATGAGGACTACACACCAGTCCACAAGGCTGCTGGGGTTAGGGTGATGAGCTCTGGGGAGAGCAATTTCTCCAGAGTCTGGCTCAGGTTTTAAGCCCAGTAGTTATCACTGGCACTCGTTCAGTCCCCACTGGCTCCCGAGCCGTGGGCCCCACACGGGTGGAGGAACACCAAGGAGTTGGAAAAAATACCCACTCTGCCCCTTGGGTGCTCAGAATGTAGTTGGGGAGGTCAAATGCGTACACATGTTCGCACACGAGGGAAAGAGATTTAAGAGCATTTATTAGTCCATTCAACACTGAGCGGATGGGGGCTCTCCTCCTGAGCCTTGCACCATGAGCCCGCGTCAGAGTCAGAAATCCTTGATTATGAGCACCTACAATCCCTTGGGAACACAGACTCTGACCCCCCACTGGTGGCTCCAATCTGTTAGTAACGTCTAGGTGCTTGAGCTCAGGGTGCGAGGGGAGAAACGTCACTGCTCCAGGTAATGGGAAACACAGGTTCTGTCGACTTGATCACGAACTCTCTGTGTGGCTGCAGCTTCGTCCTGCCCCCTCTCTGGGCTTCCGATGGACAAGGGAATCTTCAGGGTCCCTGTCAGTTCTAATGTGGTGTGTGATAGAACGCTCTATAGTGGAACCGACTCGAGAGACGTTCAGGATTGCTTCTGATCCACAGCCGGATGGCACGGGGCAGACTGAACGCTGAGAGCAGAGTCTTGTCATTCTGGGTCATTTTTACTGATTCTGAACAATCCAATTCTCTGAGCCCAGCCCCCCCGCCCCCCACTAATGGCAGCATTTTTAGCTGAGTGTCCTCTAAATGGCCTTTGAGGAATCAGGCAGGGAGGGGGCAGCACGGAGCCCCTGGTCTCTATCATTTGACACATCCAACCCCAGCAGGTGCACAGGCCCCGCCACCCTTCAGATTTGGACAGCAGAGAGAAGGGAGGGTGGCCTCATTTTCTGCCTCTGCAGGGAGCCTTGGCAGACCCCCAAAGAGCAGAGATCCAACTCTCCTGCCTGTGGCCTGGAGGCATTCGAAATCCCGTTGGTGAAGTCTGGGTTTCTCTTTTTTTGGTTTAATTTTCTTAGAACCACTCAGAGTAGATTACAGTTTCGGATCTCAATGACTGCAATCAGTCAATCAACAGATATGTGCTGAGCACTCACGACGTGCCCAGATTCTCGCCTAGGGTATGGGGTTGGCGGGGAGCAGGGAGACGAGGGAAGTAGCAGTTGAGGTTCCAGACCTCAGGGAGTCTGTTCGACCAGCTGAAGGCAGGAATAGGTGCCAGCTCACGCAGCAGTCAGAGAGGCAACAAACAGACCCCTGGGTTTTGTTTCTGCTCGGGTGGGAGTCTAAGTTTTGAGCAGGGGTCCAGCCGCTGGCCTCGCCCTGCTGTCTGTCAGGAGCTACTTTCAGGTACAATGCGGGATGGTCAAGTTGAGCGCCCGCCAGCGTGTGGGACCGACGATAAAGCTGACCTGGCCTTAGAATTTGCCTTGGTGGACTCAAGTGTCTAAAATGACTCCGTCCTTGGTGTCCAGCTCGGCTCCGCCCTGACAGGCCAGACAAAGTGAGGCCAAGGCCCCAGGACAGAGGAGAGACAGAAGCAGAGCCCTGAGGGGAAGAGCCCAAAGGCCCACAGCTGAGACTAGAACTTAACACCTCTGTGGGAAGAATATTGGGTCAAAATGGGTCAGAGAAAGGATATTTCCTCCAAAAGAACAGAGAGAGGGAACATGTGCTTCTCGTAACCACGGGTGTGTGTCCGGAGAGGCTTTTCCAAGTACTGAATCGTCTTCCATTCCTTTTGGCTGGTGGGATGCGCCCTGGGGAATTTTTTTTTTTTTTTCAAATAGGGGACTGTGTTCTGTCACCGTTCCAGGACGATCAGGATGAAGTGAACCAGAACTACTTAGCAGATGAAGAGGAAGAAGCTGAAGAAGAAGCTCGGGTGACGGTGGTACCCGATCTGGAGGAGGAGGAGGAGGAAGAGGAGGAGGAGGAAGAAGAGGAGGAGGAGGAAGAGGAGGCGAAGGCGGAGGAAAAGGGTCGGGGTCAGCCAGCAGGCAATGCCTGGTGGCAGAGATGGCAGATCGTGAACGAATACCTGTGGGATCCGGAGAAAAGGATGTCTCTGGCCCGAACAGGTCAGAGTTGGAGTAAGTCCCAGTTGTCCCAATGCCCCAGTCGGGTGTCCTTTGCTTTTGGCTTGGTGTCCAGGACCCCTTTACCATACGTTGGATGGGCTTGTCTGCACACTTCTCTCAGATCTCATGTGAAGGGCTCGATGCCTAGGGAAATGCCTGCACTGGGGGCAGATCCCGTCGGAAGAAACCAAGTAGGTAAACACATCGGAGGGTGGAGCTGAAAGCCGCTGGGCTCAACTTCATTTGCGATGCAAAGGGTCCGTAAGAATGAGTGGGAAAAGCACAGATTTTGTTTGTTCAAGTCCCAGCCCCATGGCTTTCTGTGTGACCTCGGGCTCATCCTTTTACCCTCTCTGAGCCTTGGTTTTCCTCACCTGCCAAATGAGGGAAACAATCCCTACCTTGTCTCTCCCACAGGATCAGCCTGAGGCTCATTTTGGACGCTTCAGTTGTAAACTTGAAAGCGCGGTTGCCTCTTGAGCAGCACAGGTCTGGAGGGCACTGCTGCACGCGGCTGTTGCGTGTTTTCCCCACAAACACAGCGTAGCGCTCTAAATGTATTTCCTCTCGCACAAGGCCGCCTCTTCCGTGGCTTACTTTATGGTAAGCGGACAGCACAGCCCTCATGGAATGTACCAAACGCGCGTGAATTGACACTCTCTGTCACCGGGAAGACTTCGGGTCAATGGTAGGCTGTTAGGACTCACGTCGTGGGGAGTCAAGAGCTAGATACAGATTTCTGACCGCACGGGGGTCGGCGCCCCTCAATCCCACACTGTTCAAGGGTCAACGGTACTATGCAGGAGACTGCTGCAGGGCTGTGGGACCGCAGTCCCTGCTAACTTGACCGCGGCTTGATAAAATCTCATCGTTTCACCCAGGAATGTCGGAAAAGGAAAGCCAGGAGGCGCGCCCTCAGCCCCGGCTTGCGGATGTTTCGGGCTCCCGGGGGCGGGGGGCGCACACAGAGGAATTCTGTTTAAAGAGGTCATTTCTGGAGATTACGGCAGAGGCCCCGTCGTGCTCGATCGATGGCAGAATGGCATCCCTTAGCCAGCGCTTCGGCTTCACGACCTCTCCAGCACCCCTCTCCCAGGGTCCTACTCACCTCTCCACTATTCACGCTGAGCCTTCTCCTTAAGAGATTCAGCCTGTGATAAAATTCACACTTGCCACACTCTCCACACGGCTAGAAAAAGAGCAGCTGCCGGCTTGGCACTCAGTTAACGCACAGCAGAGCAAAATAGATGACTGTACGGGTGAAATCAGAGTCCCCCAGTGTCCCGGGTCTCGGTTGCTAAAGCTGACCATCATGCCTGCTAAAGGCCCTTTTGGCTGAGAATTCTCTCCCCGCCGCCCACCCACCCCCAGTTTAGGTTTCTAATTCAGCTCCGTCAGGGTGAAAGGGCCAGCCCTCCTTCCTGGAATCAGGAATAGCAGGTGTGGGGCTCTGAGCAACGCCCACCTCCCTTCACCCTTCCTTAGCTCCCAGCCCCACCCCTGCCGATCTCTCAAACCCTCAACTGGAACAAATGTACCATTCAAGGAACATTCCAACGTTCTGGAAGCTGCAGACAAATGCCGGACGCTCACTGGGGCTCCAAAGGGGGCACAGCTGTTTCTCCCTTGCCTAAAGAAGACTGGGAACACAGGCCTTGTGAAATGCAAGCGCGAGCTTCTGGGAGAGGGAGCTGTACTTTAACCCCTAAACGGCCAGCCCCTGGAACTTTACCCGAGGAGCTGAGGCAAGTTGGCCCCATGGAGAATAATCCATGGGCCAAAAAGAGTGATGGGGGAGAAATGTTCAGGTGCCCGGGGAGGACACGGCAGTGGGGACACCCCATGGTAGCCATATCTGGGCCTTTGATGGCAGGTGTGACGAGGGTCTAGCAACTCGGGCCTCTGCTGTTGGGCATTGCCTGGGCAGGCGGCACATGGTGATGGTAATGCCTAGGCCACCAAGCACATGTTTTGCTGCCCTCTTGCTTGAAAACTAGGTGCCCACTTGAGCAGTTACTAACCCTATCTCAGCCTGCACATCGACATGACCAACATATTCACCCAGCCTATGGTTATAGTCTGGGTCTTTCCTTTGGTAGCGGGGCAACTTCTATTTTTAGGAACTATCTGTTATTTTATTGGATACTGACAAGAACCATATGAGGTAGTAATATTATTATCCCCATTTTACAGATGCAGAAACTGAGGCTTAGAGAGGGTAAGTAACTTATCTAAAGTCACACAGTTATGAAGCGGCAGCACTGGGATTCAAGCCCAGGTCAGACGAACACTGGGGTTCACCCTCTTGCTGGAACACCACATTGTCCTCACGAAGTATAGTGATGAGCAAGGCCCTGACGGGTACGGTCTCAGGACCTGATGGGATGTTCTGGTGGGAGGAATAAAGAATCTAGATCATGGGTCCTTACCCATGTCTATCCAAGATACCCAGGTCTAGCCAGGCTTAGGTAAGGCAATCATAAGAGACACCTGCATTACCTAGAGGAGTAGCGCAGGGAAAACCTGGACATCCAGGGAAGAAAAAGCTGGAGGGATCAAGGGGTTCTGATGGGTATGGAGCTTGGTCTTCCTTGGTGGGGACGGGGGGTGAGCAGCCGTGTTAGCCCATCACAGACTTCAGGGCGTAGCTCAGGGGTGAGGCTCAGGGGACTCAGCACTAGTGCCATTGCCCCCTCTGCAACTCCTAGCCACACATCCTAGACAAGGCGGAAGGCACCTCCAAGGGAGTGTACCTATCCCATTGCTTTCCTTTCATCCATGAGACTGAGTCTTCTAGTCCGCCAGGATGGCTCCGGCCCTTGCTCCCTTTCTGGGGCTGGGGCCGCGGGTTGAGGAAAGCAGGAGGAGGCACCAAGTACCACCGGCGCACCGGTGCTGCTGTTCCTTCTCCAGGGCTTCCAGCCGAATTGCTGTGTTCCGGCTCCAGTCCTGCCTCAGTTCACCTTAGAAAACATCAAGGTTCCATTTCCAGTGGGATGCCTGCGGAGCTTTCTTCCCCCTTCCTCTGCTCCTATCCCCCACCCCTTTCTGGTTCATTTTATTTGGTTCATGGTTCAATTTAAAAATTAATATTTGGATTCAGTTTTGGGTACAGCAGAGTTAGGCGGTTTGTTCCGGTTTCTGGTTCGTGAGTCAGTTCCAATCTGTCGTTCTGACATCATGTCGCTGCTGTGAGCAGAGCCAGACACTGTTGCCTGAGAGGGCCCCAAGGAGGACTTGAAAAGAACTTCTCAGCGGCCATCTCGTGCTCATTCACCTCGCTCGGTGCTGCCTCATCCTGGGGCAAACCTAATCCCAAAACAGCCCGTGGACGAAGGACTCACACGGCCATGTTTCTGTTCCCACAGCAACACACATATGAATAATGACGATGGTGGGGACCAACCATGTTTGTAAAGAGCACTTGGTATCTGCCAGGCTCTGGGCTCTGCTATTTAAATGTATCGTCCCACGCCAAGAAGGAAGTCCTATCATTGACCTCCCAGGACAGATGAGGAAATTGACGCCCAGAGAGGCGAGCAGGACGCGAGGAGAAGTGGAGTTTTAGATATTGTTAGGGCTGTAGATCAGTATACGAGGTGAGAGGCTAAACTTGTTTCCATTCTCCCTGTGAGGAATTAGGGGCACGGAGAGATTCTGGAACTTGCCCTAGCTCACAGGTAGAGCAAGTGTCGATGTGAAGCACGCTCTCTTCCCCCTTCCTTCCCCGTCGCGTGTTCTTTCGGAAAAGCAGAGCCACTTAAACATTTGCTGAAGATGAATAAGATTTGAAATAAGTAGGGTGAGGCCTCACTTTGCCTTGATTAGAGTAGAAGCAAGTCCGGCGGCAATTAATCAAAAGTTTGAATTATAGGCTATGTGAAAAGAAACGCTGTTTTCATCACTTGCAAATACATATAATCACTGGAGCCAAGCTGCTCGGACTCTTCAGGGCACCTGCTTTAATGAGGACTCCCAAGCGATTTGCCCTCTGCTGTACTTTCAACTCCACTCCCCCGTAATCTTGCTCATGGCCCTCATCGGCTCAACAAGCCCTTCCACTGGAGATGCTGTAAAGGTACACGGCGATCAGACCTCCGACACAATTCTCACGAATTCCAGATTGGTGCGAGCTGAATAAGCAAGGACATACTGAATCTGGGGAAGGTGGAAAAAATAAACAGATAAATAAGAGACGTCGCACCTGCTGGGGTTGGTTCTGGCTCATGTGTTCAAGCGAGGAGGCAGGAGGGCTTGTTGGCAAGCACTGACCACTCTCATCTCTGATCCTTCTGCAGGCCTGATTTTAGTCATTTACTTCTTCTTCTATGCCTCCCTGGCTGCTGTGGTCACTCTCTGCATGTACACGCTATTTCTGACCATCAGTCCTTACATGCCGACCTTCACCGAGAGGGTGAAGCCTCCTGGTGAGTGCCCAGATGCCCTGTGCTGTCAGAACTCGCTGGACAGAAATCTGCTTGTACAGCATGTTCAGCCTCAATTAACTGGCTCTTCCCGGTAATGACTTGGGGATTCAATTATTAAGAGTAAAAGTAAAATGGTACTTGGCAAATTATGGTCCTTTTTATTTTGATTGCCTGGGCGGGGTGGTGGTGGTAATGGTTTCATGGGAATCAATACAAAAAAAGTATCCCAAGAACGGGTTAATATATCCAAGACCTGTTTTTGTTGCCAGGAGTTATGATTAGACCCTTCGCCCATAGCCTTAACTTCAACTTCAACGTTTCTGAACCTGACACTTGGCAGCATTATGTCATTAGCCTAAATGGCTTTCTCCAGGGTAAGTAAGTTCCTCTGGATGGGGGAAATCTCTGTGGAAAAGCGGTGGGGTGGGGTGGGGTGGGGTGGGGGGGATTCAAAATTCACAATTCTCTGGAAGTCCCACTCTTACTAACCCCAGTCCATTCCGGTCTTTCCTTAACTCTCATCCCCCTCAGCACCCATAGACACAGTCAAGACTGTTCTGGTTTGTGATAGTATGTTGTCTTGAAAGCATAGAAGACAAGTCTCCAGCAAGATGTTAAGTTCATTGGGGGCAGAGAACTTGTTTTCTTTTCTTAAACATTCTAGGGCACCTAGTTATGTCCTGGGCACATCCAGATGGCTCAATAATGACCATTTATAAAAGATCATTTCAGGGGGTAGGTAGGGGTGAGAAAAGAATAGTGTTCTCCAGAATGGGACGAGTCCTGCCTCCTATACTTTCTCAAGGTAAGAGAATTCCTTTCTTGGAGATGGGCCATCTTGAAGGAAGAGGGCAAGGGTCTTGATTTAATTAGCACCCCAGCAGGGAGTTAGAGGAAGAATCTCTGGGTGACAGTCATTCCAACATTTTGATAGCAAATGTTTGCAAGATGCCCATCTCTAGTGTCATCAGATACACTTCCAGGGACTGACGAGTGGCTTTTTGAGAAGCCCTTCCACGGACTGAAAACGGAGGTAGCACTTTGGTTAAGGTCTGACACAGAGCATGAAGGCTCTAAAGCCCCAGTGGGTTGCACAAATTATTTGCGGAAAAAAGCCAGTTTGATTGCTTTGGTTGTCCCTGCCTGGCTGAAATGCACTGAACGAGAAGAACAATGTTTTGTGACTGGAAGTGTTACGTAAATGCATAAATCTTCTCATTTAACTTTAACCCTCCATAGAAGCGACCGGCGGGGCACCTGCGTGGCTCAGTCATCGGCCAAGTGTCCAACTCCTGATCTCTGGTCCGGTCTTGATCTTAGGATTGTGAGTTCAAGCCCTGTGTTGGGGCTACATAAAGAATCTACCATCTCCATTCTACAAATGGGGCAACTGAGGCTCAGAAAGGGGAAGTAATGTGATAAAAGTCTCCCAGCAGCCGAATCAGTGTTTAAACCCACATCCATGGTTGTGACACACTTGCCACTGGAAGTGTGATCCAGGACCCACAGCATCAGCATCCCCTGGGAGTTTGTTAGAAGGGCGGGCTCTCAGGTCCCACCCCAGACCTGTTGAATCAGGATCAGCACTCGAACAAGATCCGCAGGTGATCTGTATAAACTTTAAAGCTTGAGAAATACTACTTCTCGTAATTTTTTGCTGCTGCCATATGACCTGGAGTTAGAATCTCAGCTTTGTATCAGACATGCTCAGTGTCATTTTGGGGAAGTCTGAGTTTCAGATTCCTCATCTGTAAAATGACGGAGGCTGGATCCTTTCTGGGTCCACGTAGTTTTTTGAGCTCAAAACAAACAAATCCCAAAACGTTTTGGGCATCAACGCCAGCACAGTATCTTCTCTTCTTTCAAACTGTTTGTGAGCTGTTGCAAGTGTGTTGTCAGACTCTCTGCTGAGGAAATCCCTCTGAAAAGCTAGTAGAAAGAGAAATACCAATTCTGACCTGACGACAGAGATGGAGAACATTAGGGAAAGCATTGGGTTTTTAGTTCCTAAGTGTAGATAACATGCCCTATTTAAAAGGAACACATCTCTGAAATAGACATCTCAGAGTATCAATTTCATTCCCACGAGGACTGCGATTTTGCAATAAGGGTCATGCCCATGTCACATTATTTTTAATGGAACTACCTCAAGAGAAACAATGAGCACGTGATTAGAGCTTCTATTTAGAAACTTAACATTTGAACATAGTTCTTGTTCTAAAAAAAAAAAAAGATTAAAAAGAAACCTTGAATCGAACGTAGCTTTGTCAAAGGAAAAATAAAGGCTTAACGGTAATTGGAATAGATTTAAAATTTCCAGTTGCTCCTTAACAATACTAAACCCAAGTCACAACCTGTCCAGATTACAACCCAGCAGTACATTTGGAGTTTTACCACCAGCAGATCATAGGTGCACAGTCTCCTCTGAAAAACTGAGCTACTGGGAACATGAGTGCATGGGGACTGTACCTAACAAGACAAACTGGACTCCTTCATTTAAAGCCAAACTGGAAATAATGCAGTCGTTTTCAGAGCCCAGTCCGTGGCATCTGGTAGTCCAAAGAGTGAGCTCACAGACAGCCCCTTTCAGCTCTCTCTCCTTGATATGTATGCCTTGGACTCATGCTCCACTCCATCCGATGTAAAGGGACAAAAACCCTGAGTGCCTCGAGTCTCGGTAGATAAGATCTCACCCTCTCACTTTCTCGAGGGAGACCCTACAGCTTGTCACTGGTTTCTGTCTTTCAGCGGAAGTTCTATTCTGTGGTGCTAACTTCTGTCCGTAAGGGATGAGAAGCTGGTTTATCTCCTTTTTCTCCCTCTCTTCCTCCTCTCCCTCCCTCCTGTCCCACAACACACACTTCTCATTTTCTTGTATCTGAAAAGAAATAATGGAAAATGGAAGCTATACAGTGACCAGCACATGACCCAGAGATAGATATTCCAAAGTTCGTAGGGAAGGAGACACCATCAAAGTGGGCCGAGGTAACGATCCTTCCGGGAGAGATGCTGGTGGGGGACCTTGGGCACCGACGCCCAAGGGTCCTTGGGTCACAGAGCCTAGGCCAGGCTGAGTGGGCTCTCAGAGGAGCACCAGCAAGTTGCAGAAAGAATACTAGGGAGGAGGCCTCCTGAAAATGTGGCCCTCCCCTGTAGCACCTGTCTAACATGCCCCCCCCCCGTTTGCCGCCCCCACACACGCTTTAGGTTACAATGACAGTCTTCAAGAGGAGATGAATGTAGATTGTCCCCCGGGGCAGTACTTCATCCAAGATGGCGATGAGGAGGAAGACAAGAAGGCCTGCCAATTTAAGCGCTCCTTCTTGAAGAACTGCTCTGGCTTGGAAGACCCTACTTTTGGCTACTCTACTGGACAGCCTTGCATCCTTCTAAAGATGAACCGGGTATATTGGCCCTTGATACTCCCGTGATAATAAGTAGAGGAGCTGGGTAGGGGGGCTCCGGCCCCTCTGTTTCTCTTGGGCTCTGTCTCGGCACACTGCAAGTCTGGCCACTTGTACTGACAACGTCAGTAATACAAACAACTGGACAAACCTTTCAAACAACAATCCCCTTTTCTCCCTGATTACTTCCTATTTCCACTCTTGTCTCCTGCCTCTAACCTGCCCTTTGATGCCCTCTGTCAGTAATGAGGTCCTGAGCTGTTTGGAACAGGGGACTGACATGATGGGGGAGGGACAATTCTTCTATCATAAGAGATACACTTTCCTCCTCTACTGCCATGTCTTAGGTGTGGTAGAGCCTTACCAGGCACATCGCTCTTAAAACCAGAAAGTTCTTTCCATCTTCAGGGTTCTCCTGCTGCAGTTACCTTTGTATGAGCATCAGGCACAAATACAAGGGGCAAGCTGAGCTGCACAACTCTGGAGATATTTTTGCCTTTTAAAAAATTTTATTTTTTATTTGACAGAGAGAGTACAAGCAGGGGGAGCAGCAGTGGGAGAGGCAGAAGCAGGCTCCCCACTGAGCAGGGAGCCCGATGAGGGGCTCCATCCCAGGACCCTGAGATCATGACCTGAGCCAGAGGGAGAGGCTTAACCCACTGAGCCACCCAGGCGCCCCTAGGTGTTGGCTTTTGTAACATTCCTGAGAGGGCTAATGGGTTGTTTATGCCTAAGGAAAGGGTGGTTTAAGGGGGGTGTAGAAAAGCCCCATTTTTACTGTTCAATCCATTTTGGTTTTTGATGTTTAAAAACAACAGCGACAACATTCTGGTTTTCTTTTGGTAGATTGTAGGCTTTCGTCCTGAGCTTGGGGATCCTGTGAAGGTGTCCTGCAAAGTTCAGGTAAAGTGCCTTTTTGAATAAGTACTTTGTTTTATGCAAAAAGATGGTTCATCCCTCCTAAGGTTTTCACCGTGGATGATGGTTGTGGGTTAGGGAAAGGGCTAGACTTTTCATAACTATGCCTCCCTTTGGTAGCTTCTGGCCTCCCTCTTGTCAGAAAGCATTCAATTCATGTGTGTTTGTGTGTGTCGTGCGGGTGTGTGGGTCTGCGCCGGTTTATACCTGCAAAAGCCGAAGAACGACCCTGCTAAAGGCCACAGCAAGGACTGACAGTGCGCCCGTCATTAACTAGGATTCTGTTTACACTTTTGCTTTTAGCTCTAATTACTTGTTTCTTTGAACTAAACAAACAGCTTTTATTAGAGTCATTACTCCCTGCTTTTCAAACAGAATTTCACTTTTTGCAGCAATGACCAGTGGCACTGAGTGTTGGGATAACAAATGACTACAAGGGAAGTATAAACAGAAGTCCATTAATATGCTAATTAACTGTCCTTTGAGGGACCATTAACTCCTATCTCATCGGCACCAATTAGCTCCTTGGTAGGAAGAAGCCCTAGGTCTTGGGTTTGCTTCTCCAACTGGAAGCAGTAGCTCCCTCCAGTTTCCCAGCATCTACTGCGCCCCCAGTCCCGGCCAGCCGTCTGGCTCGCTCCTGTTTGTGAAGCCGGGTAATCCCATGCTCCGTGCTAGAAACACAGCTAGAAACTCCAGCCTCGATGGTGGTGGATCAGAAAGCCTCAAGAGGTAGCATTTACCCAGCATGCATTTATTGGTCGCTTTCGCTCTACCGGGTACTTTGCTAGGTGCTGGGGGCGCCAAGATAACTATGGCTCTGTCTCTGAAGTTGGGGCTTCACGTATTCCAGCTGCTATGAAAGGGCCAATGGGGACACTGAGGATGATGAGTGTTGAAAGGTCAGGCCACAGTTTGCCCTGCCAACAAGGTAGGAAGGACATTCATTCTGTTTACATGGACACGAGTCTGTGTAAATACACACACGCACACGCAGCGTGACGACAAACTAGTGGCACTGATTCCCCAGACTACTCACAGACGGGAACTGCACGGCTTTCTAGAAGAATATGTAAGTAAATCATAAAGACTGACTCGGTCTTAAACTAGCATGTTAATTGGCTCGAGTCCTATTTACAGCTCCCTAGAGCCATTCATCTTTCTGCTTGCACAGAACCTTGCTGAGAACTGTCCTTTAAAAAGAAAACAAGAAACAGTAAGAGTCATTATACATTCTATAATAATCAATTGGTCAAAATACACACCCACTCGTGGAAATCAAGCAGGACAAGGTAATCACGAGGATAAATTAAGGGGAGCTTAGAGTATACTCCGAACGATCACACTATGTTGACAGAAGGAATCACATGACCCCAGTGAGTGATTTGCTGGTAGTGAGCTCTGTTTGTCCCTCATTAGTCCCCAGATCTCTGCTAAACAGGGCAAGTCTAATGCATAGGCAGAATGGTCAGTCCCCTACCTGATGTGATATGATGAGGGTAGACTGACTTCTTTCATCTTTCCAGCACTGGTTCCCTCTTGCTTGTCCTCCTGAGTTCACCTCCCATAAGTAAGCACTGCGGAGAAGATGGTCAGACACACGAGTGTTGGTGGGCCAAACTGTAGGCCGTGTCCCTGGGCAGCAGATCCCAGCGCACCTGGTCTCCCTTCCACGGAACTGAGCCCCCAGTGTGCAAGGTGTCATGGCGTGGGATCTACTCAGCATGTTCTAACTTCTGCCTGCCTCAGCGTCCAAGACTGGCTGCTAGGCCCACGATTATTATTATTTTTTTTTCGAGAGGGGCTGGCATGATAGACCCTCTTGCTAGAGCAGCACCAACTACTGGCCGCCCCCCAGAACCCTTCTATCTGGGTCTCCTAGGAGCCAGTACGGAACAATATTGAGCACGTTTGGTCTCCTCAGTCCAGGCTTTCCATTCCGTATTCTTTGAACTGAAATCCGAGGCACAGTCTCTCCCTGGAAATGTTCTGGCGATAGGTGTGGGGTAAGCTATGCCCCATTCTGCTTTCATGGGTCATCCTGGGACAGTTGGTTCTGGGTCACATCATGATTTCACAAGGGGCACACGCCCCTCGAGCTCAGGCTTCAGTTCCCTGGGGGACCCAGCATCCCACATATACCTGCTTTTACTTCCAGAGAGGCGATGAAAATGACATCCGATCCATCAATTACTACCCAGAGTCGGCTTCTTTCGACCTTCGCTACTACCCTTACTATGGCAAACTGACTCACGTAAGCCTGTATCCTTTTCGGTCTTTGCTGTCAGAAAGGGCTCAGAGACAGAGGCAGGGTTGCCCAGAATCTCTGAGAATTAGGGAGCAGCGTGTAGTAACAGTGGGGTGAATAGTGGCTGGCCAAGACCAGGAGCTCCCTCTCCCAATTCCTACTACAACCGCTCCTTTCCATATCTGAAGGTATTTCACATATGATCTGGTCTGACTCCTTCAGCTTACAGATGGAGAAATTCAAGTTCAGAGAGAGAAAGTGACTTGCCCAACACACAGAGCTAATTAGTGGCAGAGCCAGGAGCAGACAAATCCCTGTCACTGCACTCCACGACACCCAAATGATCAAACCCGTCCTGTTTGTCCCAGGTGAAGCCTTGGGGCAGGGGTGGTGGGTCACAGGGCCGGGCTTCACCTTTAGCATAGACATTTCAAAGACGCTAGTTCTGGATTCATTCGTGGTCTGATAACCCAGAAAATCCTATCACACAGAGTTAGACCTGGTCAGACATCCGACAGGGACTTAGGGGAGAAACGTGTCATTTCCCCCACGGAACCAGGGCAGAGAGAGAGAGCGCGTGTCAGTTGCTTTAGCCATTCGTGACTTGGCATTATGGGATTTGCTCAGTTCACTGGTGAGGGTTACCCCATTCTGCTCTGAGTATCTGCTCCCGTGCGTCCTGTTACCCAGCCCCCACGGCCTCCGCCCCTCCCATTTAGGAGTCCTTGTTCTTCCGCCTGCAGGTTAACTACACCTCCCCGCTGGTGGCAATGCACTTCACAGACGTGGTGAAGAACCGAGCGGTGCCTGTCCAGTGCCAGCTGAAGGGCAAGGGCATCGTAAATGATGTCATCGATGATCGTTTTGTGGGGAGGGTGATCTTTACTCTGAACATAGAAACCTAAGAACTTTGCGGGGCACTCCCACTAGTCCTGTTTCTGTTTTATGTCATGTAACCACCTGGTAGGACCTGAATTCTTTTTCTTCGCTCAGGACACAGCCAGATGGACACCTAAGACAGCAGATCATCTTTCCTTGCCTTTGACATATGTATAAAATGACATTGTGGGATTGATTTTTTAAAGGTAGTCTCTCCTGATAACAAATAGATGATTTTAATTTCCTTTCCCCCTACTTTTAAAGCTAAAACCCATTCGTGCTGCTAGAGGTCTCACCATAGTGTAAACGTAGTATCTGATAAAATTCACAAGAGCCATGAAGGAGAATTTCGATAACGATTTTAAATTCATCGTGTTTTGTAAAATTTTGTTGTTTTTAGAGGTGAGATTCCTCCCAACCAGGCTGATAAGCTTTTTTTTGTTTCTGGTTGTGGTTGTTTTTTTTTTTTTTAATTTTTTCTTAACCTACCTGGCAAGTTCCTTCCCTGGGAATCCCCAATCAGACCAACTCAGAATACACCTAGGGCTATCATACCTAGAGAACTCTATATCCAAGGGTGCTTGAGGAACTGGCTGTCTCATATGGGCAACTAAATAATACTGATTTGAAGACTAGGTTATCTTCAACTGGGACACAAAGCAGTGCTAACTGGATATCGTTCTGGAATACAAATGAACACCTTTCCTATGACTTTTGGGGGGAGGTGAGGTCCATAGCAACTGGGGCGAATACTTACCATGTGGATGTGATTGGCATTTGATTCCTTGCTCTGTGGTGTGATCATCCAAAGGCAAACATTCCTGCACACAGGTTTGTCTCCGCTGCAGGCAAAAGAGAAAACGAGGAAGATCTCCACCCGCTAATTATTCTTGGGCCCTATGCCTGGCAGTGGTATAAGGTCCTTTGAGACCATCCGGGAGGGGCATTGGTGAGCCCCCGCTACAGCTCTAGGGATTGAAATCACGGTCTGCCCACTGATACACAGTAAGACAGAAAGCTCTGTCTTGGGCTTCCCCCAAAACCAAGGCCCATTTCCGGTGCTTCATGTGCCCAGAAAACGATGCGGGGCAGGTGTTCATCCAGGTTGTAGGTCAGCCAGGCTGCTTTGTCTTCTCCGGCCACTCGACCGGTCCACAGCTTCTTAACACCTCCACCAGGGGGAGGGCGGGCACAAGGAGAAAAAGTGAGCATTAGCCAATTGCATGGTGTCTCGGGGTCCAAAGAACGCTTCGGTGCCACCTAGAAAAGCGTCCAGAGTCTGAATCTCCTCCCAAAATGGGGAACTGGCAACCTGGTAGTGAAGACAAACAAGCAAAGAAGTAACTCTGAACGAGTGTGACGAGTTCGACGACTGGTATGTGGAAATGCTATGGGAACATGAGGAAAAGTACCTAACTTGAGCTGAGAAAGTAGCAGAGGAAATTTCACATGCGAAGTTATAATCACGAAAGACCACCGTGTGTTTGGGTAACTGGGAGCAGTTCGTGTGACTGGAGTGTAAGGGGCTCAGAGGAATGGTCGGGAGTGGCAGGGGATTGGGCTAGAGGGGTATACAGGTACTGAAAGAGGACTTCGAGTTTAATCCAGTAGGTGAAAAGGAGTCCTTCAAGTATTTTAAGCAGGGAAGCTCTATGATCATATTTGCACTTTGGAAAGAGCACTTTGGCAGCTAGAGTGACGGGGGGGGGAGGGTGTTGGAGAGGGCAAGACTGGGGAATGGGCACTGAGGGAGAAGGAGGAGTCAGGAATGCCTCCGAGGTTTTGAACTTGGCTAGAACCAGTGCGATGGTGACATTGTTGATCGAGATTGAGAATCCAAGAGAGAAGCAAGATTGGAGAGCAACATGTTCTCAACTTAAAGCTTGTGATTCCTATTGGTCAGACACCGATGTGGAGATGTCAACACAAGTGGGGTTGGGGAGAAGGAAATCTGAGAACAAAAACAGCATTTGCTTAAGTGAACACTCTTAAGAAATTCTAAGCTATTTAATCTCGGGAACTTGAGCCATTATGTAAACACGCCCCCCGGATCTAGTCTCTCAGATAGTGTTTTTCTCTTTAGCTTGTGGCAGAAAGCTCTGCCGCTGCTCTTTGGAATCTCCTTCCCGTTTCCCAACTCTCGTCAACAGAGTAGAGGGGAGCCGACCTCTATTAACAAGATAAAAGATACTCAACAGCATATCTGTGGAAAATACCGAAAAGACAATGAAACTGTCTCCTCCCAACCCTTCCTTACCAAATTCCATTTCCAAAACTAATCTTTCAAAAGAAAGAGCAAAATACCTGAAGACGGTAACTTTAAAACCATTTCAAGATTTCCTCAAACAATCAAGCTCTCAAAATTCAGTAGGAAAAGATAATAGAACATTAGATCTGGAAAGGATACTAGAGTGTTTAGAGAAAACCTGCATTGCATCTGACTCCAGGTCCAGTGCTCTTTCTACTCTGAGCTGCTGCTTACCAGGAAGTACCATCTTTTTAAAAATCAATGGATGATACCCCAAACATTTTGAAACATATGTCAAATTTGAGTTAGAATAGTTAACATTTCACAGGAACTCAACTACTGGTGCTATATATACGTAAGACATTATCCTGTTAAATACGTTGACTATTACACAGACAAGGAATTATGAATCTTTTGTCCTACAGTATTTCTCATTCAGTGGAATCCACTGTATCCACAGTTTCCGAGCAGTATTGAATAGTACTAGGATGGTTTGGGTTGTCAGATGGGATGTGTAAGAATAACTTTATCACACAGAACTGGAAATTATCACTAAACTGGGATTCTAACAGTTCAATAAACTTCCGGTGGATTAGTCTAAATCTTCCCCCATACCATTTCATACGGGGATTTGATTTGTATACCATCTGTTGCAATGCACTTGGTTTTACTTGATTGTCGATGAGAATTACTACTTCCAAATGCCTTTGTGGTTTTGTCCATGCTAGAGTTATGATTTCTCACCCCTCTGAAATCATTACCCTAAAGTAACTTTTCTTAGGCATCTATTTGCTGAGAATCTTCATGTAGAAAACATTATTATTGTATTGAGGAATTGTTGACAATAATAAATTGAAATAAAAAAGAGATGTATGGTTTCCTCTTTCTAGACGGTATCACTGATTTTCCCACAGGAATCCTGGGCAGCCATGTGGGTGGACAACTTGACAATTGACAGCCTATTAGTTTAAAACTTTTTTCTTCTTCTTCCTCCCACTTTTTTTTTTTTTTGACTCTTGGGGTTTAACCACAGGAGGATGAAACTAAAAGTTTTTTCATTTCTGAGCATCTTTCCTTTTTGGTCTCTATGCTCTGGTTTCTCGGAAGACTGCTTTGTCAGAGCAAACTTCCTTTCTTCATCGAGTCCTGGTATAAATTGTTCCATTTGTTTGTGTAGGAAAAAAACACCAAAAGAAACTCTGCAGTGGGGGAAAGGAACAAAAATCCAAAGAGAAGCTGCAGTTGCTTGATGAAAGCCTAGCTAAGTGACTTTAGGGCACATCTGGTCACAAATGGTCTCCCAGAGCAAATCTCTAATGGTAATTGCAATTAAAGACAGAAATATTTCCACTCCCTTGTTTGGCTCAGAGACTAAGCTGCTGTAGGAATCCCTTCTTTCTTTGGAAGCTGCCCTGGCCCATGGTCTACAAGGCTTATATCGTTTGATTGGGGAGTGAAGTCTGTGATCCCAGTACATTACCCCTATCTAAGTTCTATGTTAGAGTCATTTTCCTTACTGATTTCCTCTTAAAATACTCAAGCATGATAAAATAATTTAGCCAAGTAATGCAGAGTGTGATTTACACTGTGATTTTATATAGGCAGAAAACAGAGGTTTGGACGTGTGTGGTGGCGGGAAGAAAGGAGAGGATGGATGGAGGCAAAGAGCGAGGAAAAGGGAGTTGAAAGGCTAAATAACCCTGCTTACTTCGCAAAGCTCTTTAGTTGCAGGCTAGAAGGGAAGAAAAGCTGATAGGAAGATGTAAAAAGATGAGAAAAGATGTAAAAAGATGAGAAGGATGTGATAGGCTCTCAGTCTGGCAGCTTAGTCTCCAGGATGTACTTCTATCCAGGATCCTACATGGCCATAACATCAATCAGGGTTCCAACAATAAATAGCACATCTGACAAAATGGGATAATTGGAAGGGGGGTTATTTCCAAAGAGATTACTTATAAATGTGTACATGCAGGGAACCACAGAAAATAGCACAATAACCCAGGCTAGTATAAGCTAAACTCTTACCTTCCCTAGAGCTCAAGGGACAGGCATAGGAAGTGGCTCCCCCAACCCAGAAGGACTGAGTCATGTACAACTGACTGCCTTGAGAAGAGTGGTGACCTTATTGAAGGTCTAACCTAGCCCAAGGTGATTGTGTGGGGAGGTAATCCCACACCTATTTATGGTGATAGTTGAACTTTTAAACTAAAATCTTTTCAAAATTTTAACATTAAGATCTCCAAAGAACAGTCCTTTTGCTCGATCCTAGAATTTTGTTGACATCTTTCACTTGAAAGAGAGGGAGGGGGAAGAAAGAAAGAACGCACCTTGATTTTATTCTGCTTTATCTTTACCAAAAAGCATGCTATAATTCAACTCTGTATTAAATGTCTGGCTTGCATAAGACATTTTCTTTCCAGAACAGAACGATACAACCTTCATAATACAGTTAACTTGAGTCAGAAAAGTATTTATCTTCCATTAAGGACAAACATATTCATAAATGAGGGCCGCCTGGGTGGCTCAATGGGTTAAGCCTCTGCCTTCGGCTCAAGTCATGATCTCAGGGTCCTGGGATTGAGCCCAGCATTGGGCTCTCTGCTCAGCAGGGAGCCTGCTTCCTTCTCTCTCTCTGCCTGCCTCTCTGCCTACTTGTGATCTCTGTCTGTCAAATAAATAAATAAAATCTTTTAAAAAATATTCAAAAATGAGAATCAGGATAAGGGTGACATCTTTTCCCTCTCCAATCCTCCAGCTAATGTTATCGTCTTATATATAGGAATATATTCCCAAGGAATCTACTAAAAGACTATCTTACAGCTAATAAATAAATTCATCAACATTGCAAGATAAAAAAATCAATATACAAAAATCAGTTGTCTTTCTATGCAATAGCAGTGAACAATTAAAAAAAGAAATTAACAAAACAGTTCCATTTACAATTGCATAAAAATAAAATACTTAGGAAAAGAGTAACAAACGAAATGCAAGACTTGTGCACTGAAAACTACATAGCATTGTTGAAAAAAAAGAGCTAAATGGAAAGACACCCATGTTCATAGATTAGAAGATTAATATTGCTAAAATGGCAATACTTTCCAAATGATCTACATATTCAATGCAATCCTTTCAAAACCAACTTCCTTTTCCCCCCCAGAAATTGATATGCTAATCCAAAATTAATTTGGAAATGTAAGGGACCCAGGGAAAGCCAAAATAATTTTGAAAAAGAACAAATCTGGAAGACTCATACATCCCAATTTCAAAACGTACTACAACTCTAGAGAAATTAAAACAGTGTGCTACTGTCATAAGGACAGACATATAGAACAATGGAATAGAACTGAGAGTCCAATTGGGTAGAGTATGTGCTATGGTGAGTGCTGTGAAGTGTGTAAACCTGGAGACCTGTACCCCTGGGGAAAAAAATATATATATATGTTTATAAAAAATAAAAATAAAATTTAAAAAAAAATTAAAAAAAAAAGAACTGAGAGTCCAAAAATAAACCCATACATCTATGGCCAGTTGATTTTTGAAATTAGTGCTACATTCATTCAACAGTCAAAGAATAGTCTCTTCAACAAATGGCGCTGGGACAGTCCACATGCCAAAATGTTAATTTGGACCCTCACCTCACATCATATGCAAAAATTAACCTTGAATTGATCAAAGACCTAAAGGTAAGAGCTAAAATTATAAAACTCTTAGAAGAAATATAGACATCAATCTTTGTGACCTTGGATTAAACAATGGTTTCTTAAATA